TAATAGAAACTTGTTATCCATGTAGTAAAAATAAGTCTTAATGTTTATTTAGCCACACTGGTACTTGATAGTCCCTATTTCACGCTGTATTTAAACTTTTTCTTTGTTTTAGACAGTAAAAATACATTAACCATATTTAGCTGAAACCTACTTCACATCATAAAACGTGCATTTTGAAAAGAAAACTACGGATTTAATTTTCGTAAAAATTTTGTAAATTCAGGTTAACACTTGGCAGAATCCTGAAATGAAAAAAAATTTTAGGAAGATGGACAAGAAAAAGTTATATTTTCTTGTACAGTAAATAAACCGGTGAACCAAAAAATTGGTTACAAAAACACATTTTGGCTAATAACTCAACGTAGAAACCACATTTCAGTAAAATTCAACAAGCAACTTGTTGCCAAGAATTTGACAAATGGAATGACGCTAAGATCACTACAACAGAAAAGATTTTAAAAACGCCCCGAGCTTAAACCAACACTTGCCTGAACTGCCAGCCAGCAGTGTTGCTGTAATTGTGTCTCGCCCCGACAAATATTTCACACCAAATTGGAGTTGAAAACGCCTACATATTAAAAAAAAGAAAGAACTAACGAGGTTTCTTACCGGAATTTTTTGTCGTCTTTCAGTCTGTACAGGAATCTTCAGGAATTTTGAGTGGTCACAACATCCGTATTGTAGGCAGATGCTGTGGTACACTTAGGTAGGAGAAAATAAGGAGGGAAAGAGGAGTAAATTTCGTATCTTCAGGAAGAAACTTCCTGCTATGCTTGGCCCTTCATATACCAGACTTTTCTCAAATATCCATATTTCTTGAGGCCCTTATCTAAAACAGCGGTGCACAGATGACACATCGCTTAAATGGTGCTGTGTCTAAGAGTTATGTACTACTTGGGCTACGTTCTGAAAACAAGCTTTTGAGGTGTATGAACCTAACAAATTTCAATCAAATTCTCGATATTTTGTATAGAAAATGTCCTTAAACTTAAAAAAAAGTAAGCGAGATGCACTTGAACTCCTGTAGACTACTAGCTTTCATAGGGGGATAAAATCTATTTATCTCTAGCGAGGAGTTTAGGAAAAGTGAAAACTTTCGCTGGCCACAACCGAAAAAAACGGAACTATTTTAGAGGCAGGAAGCACAAATTTGGAATGTAGCGGACTGAGATAAAATCTGAATAAAGAATCTGTAGATCGCGATACTGACAGCTGATACTGAGCATTTGATTTTCAGTTTTGTTACGATCTAGGCACCGCGCCGGGAGAAATGGCACGCTAAAAATTGTCAAGAACTATCTCTTTGAGAAAAATTTTAAACAGATTTATTGGTTTTTAAAGCTATTTAGCAATTCTTGAGACTTTAAAATAAGCGTAACAATCGCTTTTAGTAATATTTTTCGTTTCTTCCTTTATCTTATGGATTTTTTTCATTAATTATTCTTGACGGTGTTAAGAGTTACTTTAATAGTATACAAATTACTGTAAAATAAAGCAGACGTGTAAAAGCTTTGTCGAGGTAGGGAACTTGTTGGAGAATTGCGAATCCCCTTTCCAGCCTTTTTTTAAATTGGTTTGAAATGGTTTACTGTTGCTGAGTGTATGCTTAATTTCAAAGGGTCTATTTGTTTTACCGTACGTGTAGATGTACAATTATTAACTTTTCTTCTTGTGCTAGATCAATAAAGAAATGCGCTTTCGCGTACTTCTAATTTTTAAACATGCTTCGTAAAGGAAATTTGAAGAGTGTGGTTGGAAACTGTCAAAGTTCTTTTTTACTTAAGCTTGTCTAAGAGCTGGTCAAAACAATGAACTGTGGTTCGTTCCACAGTATAATTTTAAATTCGGGATCTTTACAAAGAACGTTGTTTTGATTTAAGAAACTGCTCCTCAACTCCACCTCTCCAGCCATTTGGCATATTCTAGAAAAATATGTATATGGATTGGAAAGGATAAGCATAGACAAAATACTCGTAGATGAGCATAGGCCAGAACTATCTGGAACTGAAAGATTTATTTCTGGTAAACAAATATAAAATTTTTTAATGCCGTTTCTACTTCTGTACAGACTTCGAATGCGAATGAATTGTAAGCGAGTATCATCAGTCTACGAGCCACTCAGCGTTTCCAGCTGAATGAGAGTTTCTCGTTGTAATAAGGATATTCAGGGTTGGTGATCACAGGAAGAAGCATTTCAAAAGCCAAAACTAAACCGATCATTAAAAGCGCAAATATCATCGTAAAAGCAATAAGTTGATTTCTCTGAAAAAAGCGTGTTTTAGTACAGACCACCTGACTTACGCATGCAAGTTTTTTTGGGACCTGTTGCAGCGACAAGAATGTTTATACTTTTGTTCACTTTCAACAGAATGACTCTTCATCCAAGCTACATTTTCCTAACGGGTAGTACAGATGATAACGTTCAGAGACAAAAGGATTTTGATGAGGAAACTACATACCGTAAAAAGATCCTTCCTGTCTACAACCTCGTCGAGATCGGCTCCAGGACACATGACACCATTAATGAGTCAATTCTGATTTTTCTTCTCCTTTAACAATTTTTATTTTTCAGTAAAGCTGGCACCAGCTGTACTTCCTTCCGCTACAACAGAGTACTAAAAACGTTTTGACAGTTTTTTTGACAGTTTTTTTTTGCAATTCGCATGACTTTTAGAAAAGCTCACAACGAACCTTCAAAGTTACACAGAAAAATTGTCCACAGGACTTTGTTACTGATATCAATATGGCACATGTTTAAAAATAATCAACAGTGTAAACGACGCGGACAAATTAAGGTTGCTCAACTGAATACTGGCTAATAATTTTAAAAAGTTATTGTTGTCTATCACAGCAGAAATTATAATGAAGGTTAGCAGCAAAGCGATAATAAAATAAGCTTTGCTTCAGCAAATATTTGAAGAGGTTCTGTAAGAATTTTTTCGTTCAACATGTTTACTAGGATTCTGCAGCAATTGTTAGTACAGAATACTAGAAGAATTATATTTGCTTGAATCTAAGGACCAGTTCTAGAAAAACAACTTTTTTGGTTTTCAACAATATTGGTTGGTTGAATGAGCAGACACGTTGATTGTGTTTCATTTTGTAATTAGGAGCTATCTTGTACAGTCAATGGTTAGTACTGTTCCAAGTTGACTAGACGTATTCGCTATGGAACTGACTGTCCCATCAAAGTTTTTCTTTTTCTGACCCCGGGAGAAATCCTAGTATCAAAAGCGTTTTTAGATGACTAACTTAAATAGTAGTTGATGGTCATCCGTTGAAGATCATACCGCAAGTTACAAAATGATACTTTGTACTTAAATTGAAATTAATTGTTTAAACCTTAGTAGTCGTCGAAGCAAGAATGACTGTACTTTATTCTATTTGAAAAACTCTTCATTTCACTATACTGTCTCAGCTCTTAATAAAATTGACTTAAACTGTAGCTCTTGTAAAACTGGTATTTTCATAAATTCCTGGAATGTCTTTCTTCTTCAGATCATAAATTCTCAAATCTTATTCTCCAGCAGGACATAGTAGAAGTTCTACGAACAAAATTTGCTTGTAGACTCGAGCGGTGTGAAGAATGACTTGTACACAGTTCATCAGTTTTTTCAAGAACACAAAACCAGGATTTGAAGCAGTCGAGTCATATTTCACAGGATTACGTTAATATGATTCTCAAAAATCTCTAAAAACATTTATGAACATTTCCAATTTATTGCACATTTTTACAGTTACGCCTTACTTCAGTTCTCGTCAAATTGAACAACCACCATTTCGCCAAAAAAATGAAGAGTAGGTCCTTCTCACACACCTTCTCACGCTTTAAGTTATAACAACTTTCTATTAATTCTTTTGGTACCTTCTTAACTGTTTGGAGCAATCTGAGATCAATTCCAATTAAAATATTTAGAAACTATGCAGTGGAGATCCTTAAATCAAGATAAGTGCTAAAAACAGAAAGGTGCACTGATAATCACACTCTTAGCTTATAAAATAGAAACATTTTTAAATCATTCTGTGCGCCTTTACTTTCAATAACTTGTTAGCTCCTTGCCACAAAACCTAACCCCTAGTTTAGTAATTTATGATTTTTACCACTATGAGTTTTTTGATTTCAATATAACTGCCGTTCTTATGAACTACTGTAAACTGCTTTTGAAATGACTCTTGCTTTTAATAAAGCGAAATATAACTCTTAATTAATTAAGATGTAAATTATAATGATCTGTTCGATTTACTGCTGTTTAAATAGGTGCTTCAAAGAAGTCAGATTGTTTCAGAAGCAGGAAAACAGTGCACCAAAATCTAGTTTGAAGAAATGACATATCAAGCTTATTCCCAGTGGTGAAATTACAGAGTTTTCTAAAATAGCGAAAACTGGTGTTAAACTTCACATTGTCTCAATAAATCTTACAATTTTCGCTATTCACGAGCTCTATTTCGAATCAAAACTGGAGGCAAAGTAGCATTTGAGCCAAAAACTACAGCTACGTTCTTGAAACTATTTAGTATTAGACAGTACGCTGTTTCCTTTTATCAGTTTTAGCTTTGGTATATTCTTTAGAAGCTTTTTCAAGGGAGGAGGTTAATTTGTGAAACAAAGCACACTTGAAAGCACTAAATTTCAAATATATATAAATTCAGCAGAAATGCTTGAATTTCTGCCATCTATATTCGACTATTAACATTGTTGACGTGTTCAAGACAGATTGCTTGTTTGAAGTTTGCAAATTATAAACCCTAGCGGACAAAACTGCCACGTAGTAGTCCACTCTAGCCAAAAGTGCTGGAATCACTTTCTAAGCTTGCCTGCAAGGTTTCCTTCGTATAGGATGAAACTTAAGCGAAAACATTTAATTGATTATTTCCGCTATCTTCAGCTGAACCTAGCTTGTATCAAAACCACGAACTTTAATTGTTACGTAGAGATAAAGTTGAAAATCACTTTTTTAAATCAAGATTTTTGTATAGGTGCAGGCTCGCGGGATCGTCGCTATAATGGTTGCAGAGTAAGTAAGTCTATTTCTTCGTGCGGCAACGTAACGTTTACTAACCAGTTACCATAACTTTCTAACTCAGACCACTGTGATGAAGAACCAAAAAAGGACTAGAAAAAGTACTGTGAAAGTCCTTTATGCCAGAGAGTCTTTCATTTCTGTCAACTTGTTCTTTGTTTTTCGGGACTTCACTGAAAAACTCCACTTTTATCTTCGTTTAGAAAGGTGTAGTCACTGCCTACGGACTGAGCAAGTTACTAAATTGTGTTTAAATTGAGGCTACAGCTTTACTTTTAATCTGCTGTTAAAAAAATTGAAAATAAAAATAAAAAATAAAAGAAGGAAGAGGAAAAGAAAAAGAAGAAGAAGGAAAAGAAGAAGAAAAAGAAAAAGAGGAAGAGAAAGAGAAAGAGAAAGAGAAAGAAAAAGAAAAAGAAAAGGAAAAAGAAAAAGAAAAAAAAAGAAAAAGAAAAAGAAAAGGAAAAAGAAAAGGAAGAAGAAGGAGAAGAACAAAGATAAAAGTAAAGATAAAAATAAAAGTAAAAAGAAAAAGGTAAAGAAAAAATACAAATAAAAATAGAAATAAAAGTGAAAATAAAAATAAAAATAAAAATAAAAATAAAAAACAAAAAAGAAAGAATTTTTATGTCTTTGCGTTTTTGTTGGTGACAATAGCACTTTTATGGGCTTATGAATTTAATTGCTTTTTCATAAATTCTCTCATTCCCATGTCTCATTCACTTTAGAAAGATTTTATTATAGATTTTTCAAATTCTTGTCGTTCTAAAGCTTAAACATATTTGTCATTTCCGTAAACGTAACAATTTGCATGCAAAATCATTTGCCTGAAAATTACCGGCAATTATTTAAGTAGCGTATTTTGCAGTTGAAATAAGAAACGAACAGAATGTAACTGCAAAGCTTTGGCAGCAGAAAGAAACATAGAAATTAAAAAAGTGACAAGTTTCGCAAAATTCATCGATTTTGCTTTCTTTTTGAAAAAGTGATACGCGTTTAATAATTTTTCAATACTTTCGGTATGCCAGAGTCGAATCATATGTTACTTGTTATGTCTACTTTTCATATCTTCTAAAAATTAAGAAAGTTTCTTCCTACTACAACCTCCTTCTTTTGTCATTCTGAAACGTTAGTCTAAAATTTATTGTTTTGAGCAGACTTTCAAATTACTTAATGCCAAGTAATTTATCAATGATGCTAAATTTATTGTAGAAAACATTATCAAGACAATGAAGAATTATCTCGTTCGCCCAAACAGCTGCCGGAAAAAGTTCCCTACAAATTTAAGCTATATCTTGGTGAACCAACGTTTTCAAGGCTTCATTCAGTGCTTTTCAGAAAAAATCTTCTCCTAAAACTGACCTTATTCTAACTTTTCACCACTTACGGCCTAAATTTACATGTAACTTTGTCGTTTTCTCAAAAGAAAGTAAAGTAGATTTTCCTTTTTCTTTCTGGAAATTGCTGCACCACCTACTGCTGAGTGATGTTACTGCGCTTACGCAAACCCTTATCAGATGGAATGCGACAAAGCTTTCTCTACGATTGTTTTGCCATATTCTGACTTGTCATAATTTGAGCCTTTCTTGGCAACTTTGATAGAGTATTTTCTTGAGATTTTAAACGAAAAACAAGAAAAAACGATGTAAATACCTTCGTAACTTTAAAAACCAAAATCTTCAATCAAATTGCTTGAAAATTTTCCGAAACTTTATTTACATCTTAACAATGCCTTTTCAGTCTGCTATTTTCTAAAAATAAGAATTATTCTTTTCTTGCAGACTTTTTTCATGCTTATTGCTTATCATATTAATACTCCAGTCAAAATTATTTCTCGCCGCTTGTTAAACGTCGGGGTTATTTATAAGTTCGCGTTATTTTCGCAATAGGATAATAATTTTTTCTTCGTACAATATTGATAGGCATTATACGAATTCTTTTTAGTGGAGAAAAAGCCTGCAAATGGTGTACTTGCTGTAAGCGACCTCAGGTTCTGCATGTTAGACTGAATTTTGGATGCAAGGATTTTTTTTCAACTAATAAAAAATTGTCTGAGTTGTAAACGTAACATTTTTGAAGTTGAACTGATAAAAAACAAATCTGAAAGAATTCTCAGAAATTTCTTCTCTTAAAAACTAATACTAATGGCGAAAAACTATTTAGAAAGGTTTGCACTAGGAATCGTTTGTTGGCTCAAAACTATTGCTGCTGTAATCCTCGTTTATGGCGGCAATTAATAAAAAGTGACTTTAAGTTTTTGTT